CTGTGTGTGTGTGTGTGTGTGTGTGTGTGTGTGTGTGTGTGTAAGAGAGTGAGAAGAGAAGACCTTTGGTCCTGTTGATCATGGAGGTTTATCTTTTTCAGGCTTTATCAGTTGTGCTGTCTTCGTGAAGCCATTGGTAGAGTCCACCGGTCATGGACAAAGAAAATGCCATGGATACTTCCACCCCACCTGACCCGAACATGGTGGAGAAGACAGATCCACAGTTCAAACCCCGTGGGGCCTCCAACAACATACTGACCTATTTAATCAATAGACAACTGGGGAGGCCCAGATATGATGTAGACCTGTCCAAGTGGGTGTGGATGCTCACATGAGCTACCCCACAGTGGAGTGGCATTTGCCAAAGTGTCATTTTGTCATGGGACTCCCCTATTCATCTTTATTTGGAACTGTATATTTGGAAAAAATTACAACAAACCTTACCCATGTTTGATCCAATAATTAATTTGTGCTTAACTCCTTTTGGTTTCGTGTATGTTGTTTGTCATAGTCGCCTTGGGTTACAGTGTACAGGGGATGCCATCCATCTCAACACTCCATGTAGTGATTACAGGTAGAAAGGTTTTATTTTTCAATGTCTCCTTTACCCAATTTTTAGACTATTGATCTGATATTTCCTCTGCAGGCTTAATCCTAAATTTGTATTTCCAGAGGCAGGACTTAATTGAAAAAAAGAAGAAAATTTATATCTCAAAAACACAATTTAGCTTAAACATCATTGAGAATGGTCTCCCACAGCAAAGGCCCAATAAAAGCCAAGTGGTTTAAATGTGAAGCTTGATATGGAGAATGATATCAATATTTTTCCTTATTTTTAGCCAGAAAGAGATGCCTCTACAAATTGAAATTTTTAATATAAAGAGCTAGAAGTCATACTTTGTGTAACTACCTAGTTATATCCTTATTAATCTAATTTTGAAGTATATGTTCCCCTTTCAATGAATAAGTCAAAGAGTACATTTTATGCCACCCATCCTGGGAAAGCTTTCTTTGAACTTTCTCCAAATCTTTTCAAATTTATAAACACACACTAACAGCAACACTAAAATGACAAAAGAACACATTTAACAATTACATTAGACAAAAAGAAATCTAAAAGGCAAAAGAACACATTTTACAATTACATTAAACCAGAAGGCACTTTCCGTTTTGTGGGAAATAGATGGGAGTCAGAGTAGGAAAGAGGGGGAGAAAAATAAATCACAATCAGAGAGGGGGCTTAAATTCCTTTTTAAGTAAGCTGTGGGTTCTCAGGAATCTTTCTTAACTACCTTCATTACCTATACTGACTGCCTGACCTTTGCCCTCTGCCTCACAACCATCTTGAAGGGTAACCAACTAAAATCCAGTATTTCAGAGATTGGGGAACTACATAATTGTGACTGGTCCTGTTGTCTGAACCTGTAGTGGAGGGAGATGGGAACTGGGACTCTGGGACAGGTTAGTTGGGGTCTGTGAATCTAGTTTATTGGAATTCAAAATCAGCATTATTATTTTAGTGATAATTGCAATTTATATGTGAGACCTTTAGCCAAGGAAAGTGGTTTTTTTTCTTTGTTTTCATTTTAGTTTGTTTTTTGGTAATGCTGGGGAACGAACCCAGAGTCTCAAATATACTAGGCCAATGTTCTAAAACTAAGCTACATCCCTAGCCCAAGAAAACAATTTTTGAATAATAAATAAATTTTGCTACAATTATATAAAAATGAGAAATGTACTTTTGCCAAAAATGGCTAAAATTGAAGGACATAGAATGAAAGGTGAGTGACTCACCCAAGACAGAGATTCAACCAAGAGATTTTATTGGGGGGGCTGCTTGAAGGGGAAGAAAAGGAGAGGCAGAGAGAAAGAGAAAGAGAGCAGAGAGAGAGGAGAGAAAGAAGAGGAAGAGGGGAAGAGGGCAGAGAGGAAGAGGGCAGAGAGCGTGAGCTTGCAAGCTTCGTCTTAAGAAGGGTTGCGTAGGGGATTGGCAGGGTGACTCAGGAACAGCAAGCGGTCACTGTGTCCACTGGGGATTGGTGGAGGAAACCTTTAAATTTGGCGCTCTTGCTCTTCGGCGTGGCACCCTTCGGAGAGGAGGGGAAGGGGTAAGGGATTCTGTGAAGTTCTCGTGAGATGGAAACTTAACTTCAGTGGGGAGTCTCCCACACACCCAACACTCCTCCCTCTTTGTTTTTGTGTTGGGAGCAGGATGATGAGATCCTCTGAAGGAAGGGAGGGATGGGCAGGGTGCGGGGACAAGAGAAGCATAGCTGTGAAGGCCAGGGGCTGAAGATGTGAATTTCCTTGGGGCCGAAATCAGTGAAAGTTCCTGGAAGCCGTAGGTCATGGATAGTCTCCATCCAATCCTTGTCCCTGCCATGGGGGAGTCAGCCAGCTGTCCTGTCCGAGGGCCTCCAGGAACTCCACGAACCAGCTGTGCCCCCTGTGAGCCTAAGAACACCAAAGGCACCCCGTACCCCGAGGCAAGGAGAAGAGGGAGGAGGAGGCCCACATTAGCTTCTGGCTGGAGGTCCAGTGAGAGGGACTGGCTGAGAAAAGACCAGCGGTCAGGAGGGGGCACACGAGAGCGAGTGGGCCTAGAAACCCTGGGTGACAGGCTCGGGACGTTCCCAGTCGTGTTTCCGTTGGTGAGGCCTTCACTAAGGGACAGGTGTCCTCCGAGGGAGCAAGCGGCTGGAAATCCCTGAGGAGAGGCTGGTTAAAGGTCTGGTTAGACATGTTGCCTGTGTGGTTCTGCAGGAGTTTATGGTGCAGGGGAGAAAGGCCCAAAACAAGAAATCCCAGGGAGAGGGCCATCTGGCTAGGAGTGAGGAGGTGGGTGCCAGGAGGGTGGCAAGGAGCAGGGGGGAACGAGAGTGAGGCCTCTTGTTGTGAGGGTTTCTCGGGAACCCTCAGGCGTGAGAAGGGGAGAAGGAACCCTCAGGTGTGAGAGGTGGCGCTTTAGAGGATTCTCAGGGATGGTGGAGGAGGTGGGAGGAGGACGGTGGACGGTCAGTCTGGGCTCCCTCTGTCAGAGGCTGGGCCAGTTTCAGCCTGGAAATGTGAATTCATGAAGTCAGTTTGCCTGGGGACTCCTGTAGGTGGACAGCATTGGGAGTGCACAAGACAACACTTAGGGGGCCCTTCCAGTTAGGTGTCAGGGTAGGCATGTCACCAGAAGGAGGAGAGAGATATACCCAGTTGCCTGGTGTTAAGGGGAAAGAGACACGTGACCTGGAAGGATCAGGTCATGGAGTTTCCTGGTGTTTCCAAATCTGTGTTTGGATGAAACTGAGAAGGGGATGACTGAGATGTTCTGGAATAATGCAGGGTGAAGGGGTCCTCCCAGGTGGCAGGGATGGGTATCCATATATCACCTCAAAGGCGGACGTTTGACTAGGCCTTTGGGGAGCGCCTGAAGGCGAGACAGGGCAACTGGGAGAAGTTTGACAGTCGAGATGTGGTTCGAGGGGGAGCTTGGGGAGGGTCTCCTTTAGGGTGCCGTTACCGCGTTCTACCTTCCTGAAGAGGTGGGGTGATAGGGATGTGTAGATCCCAGGGAATGTGGAGAGCCCCAGCAGTGCATTGTGTGATTTGTGAGGTAAACTCGGGGCCATTGTTTGATGGCAAGGAGGTAGGGACCCCAAATCTTGGGATGATATCTGGGAGCAAAACAGAGGCGACCATGGATGCCCTTTTGGTGGTGGTTGGAAAGCTTCCCCCGATCCTGAGAAGGTGTCTACAAGGACGAGGAGATAGAGATACCTCTAGACCCTGGGCACATGTGTGAAATCCAACTGCCAGTTGGCTGGGGGAAGTTGTCCTGGAGCCTGGTGGGTGGAAAAGGAGTCTGGCTTGAGGGGGTATTTGGACTGGTTCTTTACAGCCAAAATTGGAGTGCTGTAAGGGGAGTGGGTAGGTCTTATTAGGCCCTTGAGCCATTGGTCTTAATAATGGGCTGTAGGCCCTGAAGACTGCTAGTTGGAAGAGGGTATTGAGGTTGACAAGGGAAACGCTGAGGTCCTTAAGATGAATTCTGACAGGGACACAGTGAGCCAGAGAGGGGGTGGAAGTGTCCCAAACTTGAGCGTTTACCTCTGGAGGGTGAGAAGGAAGGGAGCCTACGGACATGTGGGCTGCTTCTGCAAGGGCCAGGATAAAAGAAAGTCTGGGGTGGAGTGTGATGGAGGCATGGAATTTGGCTCAGATGTCCCTTCCCAATAGGAAAAGGGGGCATTGGGGCAATACCAAAAACTGGTGGGAGAAAGGATGGTGGTGAGACCTACAAGAAAGCATGGGGGTTTTAAGGGGAAGGATTGTTTGTCCCCCTATCCCGACAATGGGGGAACAGGATGGAACAGTGGGTCCCCAAAACTCCCTCAAGACTGAATAAGTGGCCCAGGGAATGTGGAGAGCAAGATGTGACAGTGGCTCCTTAGCTGGATGGAAATCCGTGGTTGAGGAGGCAGAAAGAGAGGAGGGTTTATAAACCAAGAGGACACGCTTTGGGTTGCAAGAGGTACAGAGAGACGGATTTGAGTGAAGGAGGAAGAAAGCCTGAATGTATAAAATCTCTGCCCATTTTTTCAATCGCTTACAATATTTGAAGAGATCCCACCAAATGGCGGGGTCTAAGGACCCATATAGGGGGCCGCTGGTTTTGGTCAATTTCTTGGGATTGATCTCCGGGGTTAGGCTGAGGGTGTCCAGATGGTGGAGGAGGCATTAGAGAGGGGAGTGGGCAGCAGGGAGGAGGCCCCGCGCGTTCCTGGGGCTCTGAGGAAGGGTGTGCTATGTTGATGGAGGGGCGTCCCACTCGAGCCAAATATCAGAAGGAGACCTCAGGTAGAGGATATGGTCGTCACCAAAATCCTATGGTGAGGGGCCCTCCCAGAGGGCCCTGGGAGCTATGGGTCACCTGGACCCAGAGAGAGAAAGAGGAGACCCATGCTGGAGGAGGGGAGGGGGTTTGCCAGTTCTCAAGCTGGTCTGGGTGGGGTGTATTCCTCCCAGAGAGACACCATAGGGGCTGCTGGACGATCAACAGCCAGTTCCCTGTTACTGTGCCTCAGCAGGTTTAGGAGTCTAGAAGGGGAACTCACCAATTCGTGGGCCCATGCTATAAAACCTTGTTCCTGGAGAGCTGGGGTGCTGATCTGTAGCCCATGTTAGGAGAGACAAGCTGCTGATCAACTCTCTTTGTGTACACAAATACAAACTTGCTTTAATTTGATTTAAAATTGGAGTTGGTGGTCTTTACTTTGTGTCGAGGTTCAACAATCTCTGCCTGGTCTCCTCCTTCTTCTTCTTCTTCTTCTTTTTTTTTTTTGGTGGACACAACATCTTTATTTTATTTTAATGTGGTGTTGGGGATCGAACCCAGCGACCCACCAGGTGAGCACACTACTGCTTGATCCACATCCCCAGCCCTGTCTCCCCATTTCTTGCTTTCTTTTCAAATATTATTTACCCTATGTTG